ATGTTGTGGGGGACCATATCAAAGGCCTTACAGAAGTCCAGATAGATAACATCCGTAGCTCTTGCCTTGTCTGCTGATGCAGTCCCTCCATCATAGAAGGCCACCAGATTAGTCAGGCAGGATTTGCCCTTGGAGAAGCCATGTTGGCTGTCTCTAATCATCTCCCTGTCTTCCATATGCTTTGACATGTCTTCCAGGAGGATCCGCTCCATGATCTTACCATGCACGGAGGCGAGGCTGACTGGTCGGTAGTTCCCAGGGTCCTCCTTTCTACCCTTTTTAAAAATGGGTGTGATGTTTCCCTTTTTTCCAGTCACTGGGGGCTTCACCTGACTGCCATGACTTTTCAAATATGATGGAGAGTGGCTTGGCAAATACATCAGCCAATTCCCTCAGGACCCTGGGGTGCATCTCATCAGGTCCCATGGGCTTCTGTATGTTCATGTTCCTCACGCGGTCTCGACCCTGATCTTCTATGATGGGAGGGACTTCACTCCCCCTTCGGGGGAGCCTTGAGGTTCAAGGTCTTGAGAGATGTGGGAAGAGAGATTACCATTGAAAACTGAGGCAAAAAAAAAAAAAAGCTGTTGATTCTCCGAACTCAAATTGCTATCTGATTAAAAAAACCCCACACCTTTTATGCAAGCAGTTACTTTGATTGAAATAATTTTCAGCATCAAAATATACCAAAATGATTTTTTGGCATATAGAAGTTTTTACAATAAACATCTGACTATTAGAATTTTTACCCTGAGAACAGTGTGTGGAAAAGCGTAACAGAAGTCTATGTATTAACAGCCCCACCCTTCCAGTATGTGTAAATGCCTTCCTGTACTTGGTAGTTAATACTTTTTTCTTTGTAATATATTCTTATACTAATCCAATAGTGTTAATATTTGGAAGTATTAAATATTTCTCAGAAATATTAAATTTGGCAACAGGCCTAATGCTATGCCACAGTGCTTGTTTTTTCTTGTAAACAATCATTTCAATAGAGGAATATTTCACCAACAGGCAACATTTATTATTATAACTGAGAACTCTACATAAAGTATTATACAAAGTTATAATGGACCAATCAACAAACCCATGTTCCTATATAACCGTTATTAGCATTTTTACAGAAGTTTAATATATTGTGCATTAGGTGTTTTAGTAAATTGACAAATGAGGGCATTATTTCAAGGAGCACAAGCTTGCATTGAAGGCATGTATACAAAACACATGAAAGTATGCTAAATATGCCAAAAGCCTAAAACCACCTCAAAACAAAATTAAATGTATAAAGTAACAGCATTCTTAAACACCAGTGCTACATTCCTAGTCTTATCTTCTAACAAGAAACAGAGAAATGCAATCTGAAAAAATGCCCTTTATCTTTGAGTTTTAGAAATACAACCTCAACTATATGTCATTAACTGGATTTTTTTCTGCAAGACTGAAGGACTTACGGCATTATAAATTTACCTAGCCAGTGTATTACTAGTTCTTCCTGAAGTACTATACAAAATAAAGTAACTGTATATAACAGTTGACTATTAAAGGAACAAGTGTTTTTCCATCACAAAGTGATATAGTATGCGGTTAAAATTCATGTATGTAATATTAAACTATACCTGTGGAAATTTTGACTTTCTACTCCTGTGCACTCAAAAAAATATATCAAGAACGATTTTATTTTCATTTTTAGTCTTCCCTCTACACCTTTCCCTCAAGCATGGTCTACCTAGCTGCATTCCTATGTCTTCAGCATGTTAGTACTCCAAAGTTGTCATACCCACATCTATGAACAATTCTCTAGACCAGTGTGACCTCTGGATTTTCCAGCCTCAGTATTCAGTTCCCTCCCATTTCAATACCTTCCTGTCTGACTAAAATATCATGGTCCCTTGTTGTCCACTTGTCCTGGTTTCAGCTGGGATAGAGTTAATTTTCTTCACAGTAGCTGGTACAGCGCTGTGTTTTGGATTTAGGATGAGAATAATGTTGATAACACACTGATGTTTTAGTTGTTGCTAAGTAGTGCTTACACTAGTCAAGGACTTTTCAGCTTCCCATGCTCTGCCAGGTGCACAAGAAGCTGGGAGGGGGCACAGCCAGGACAGCTGACCCAGACTGGCCAAAGGGCTATTCCATACCATATGACGTCACGCTCAGTATATAAAATGGGGGGAGTTGGCCGGAATGGGGGGAACGCTGCTCAGAGATGGGCTGGGCATCAGTCAGCAAGTGGTGAGCAATTGCATTGTGCATAACTTGCTTTGTATATTATTATTATTATTACTACTACTTCTATTACTTCTATTTTACTTTATTTTAATTCTCTCCTCCATCCCACACGAGCAGCTGTGTAGTGCTTAGTTGCCGACTGGAGTTAAACCATGACACCACTACATATCATTTCTACTCTTTTGAATAACTGTTCAGATCAGTTGCCTAGACAGACAAGTTCTCTTCTGCACAAGTGAATAGCTTAGCTAAACAATGTCACTTTTAGACAATCAGAAAAACAGGGATATAAAAAGGATGGAATGATATTGCTATAATACTAGCTTTAGGGAAGGCCCATAGAGAGGCTTCTGCTTCTGCCTGAGCACCAGTGGAGGAAGTGCTGAAGACTTATCAGCTTGAAAGGAGGATGGGCTTGCAGAACAACAACTCTGATTATGAGAAAATAAATTAGTTTAATTTCCAAAGAAAAAAATGGCCTCCTATAATCATAGGATTTTTAATACAGTCAGTAATTAACATTTTTTTAAAAAAATAGAAGCCTTTTAAAATTATAAGTGGTTTTCCTGTTAGCAAGTTAATCTCATGAGAGTAGTTAAACAGAAGTTACCATTAGCTTTGTAAGTGGAAAAACCCTAATACTGAGTCAACTTGCTAAATAGAGCAAGTTGTAACAAAATTAGTAACAAATATTACTACAAATAGCTAATGAAAGTTATGAGATTCCTTCCTCCCTCAAAAAAATATGTTCATAGCTTTTTGTGCACAGACTGCATATGACAGTATATACACATTCTGTGAACACCGGTAATCAGAATTTGAAGGCAGTTTTACCAGTTTTGTGATTTAAGTCAGTCAAGACAAATAGAAACAACAGAAACAAGAAGCCTGTATATATTCAGCTTTAATATTTCAGTGCCTGAATATATTTTGTTCTTGAAAACCACCTAGTAACTACAGCAGAGACTGTGCCTTCAACAAGGCAAGGAACAAGACTGAAGTTGGGTTAGCATATTTTGAACTATTACTAGTAGCAGCGCTATGGCAGCCTACTGTTAAATTTGCACATGAACTGCTTTCTGGACTTCCCTAGATTTATGGGTAAATAAACCACCAGACAAGTCTATACATAAAAACATCAGAAACCTAATAAAACAAATTATTTATCTACATAATCATAGTGAACTTTGAAGCTGAGGAGTGTGTGTCTGTGTATATAAATATTTAAACACAAACATAGAAGTGGTATTTTTTTTTTCAACTCAAAGCAGAATAAATAGGCGATATATTCTCGCAAATGGCTTTTGGATGGGGAAGTGCAAGTGGAGTGGACAAAGAAAACGGCAAAGGAAAAGAACAGTGAGATTTTACTTCCATGGTACATGAAAACACAGAAATGCTACAGCACTTAAATGTTCTTACCTTCTGGGTCCCAATTAATCACACATTACAGTGTAAAAACATCAGTGCAGGGATTTAACACACAATTTAAATTTTCAAAATTAATTAACTTTATTTTCCTTAATGGCATCCACACTTTGCACAGCCTAAGAACCTGAAGAAAATGCATTTGCTTTTGAAAGCCACATATTCAGCAAGTGTTTTATGGCTTTCAAAAGTCAAAGAAATAGTCCTGAAATTTCAAATGTTAAAGCTTTCTCCACAGCCACATGTTCCTTTGATGTTTGGATTATTGAAGACAAATTCACTGGACAGTTTGTCTTCCACATAGTCCATTTCAGTTCCTAGAAGTGTCAGCTGTGCTTTCTTCTCAATAAAGATTCTAATCCCTTAAAGGCAACAAAGAAAAATATTACATACAGCAAAACCGTTCATCATTCACTTTGAAATGTTGTTCCAACCAGTGATAAAAGTGGAAGCTAAATACAAAAAAACCTGTCAATATAACTCGTTTTCCCTAGCCTAAGATAGGGCTTTTATTTTTTTCCTCCTTTTTTTTTTTTTTTAAACAAAATTCTAGCAACAGTCTAGTGCTGGTATTTGTGTACATGTGTGCATTTATTTTCATTCGGATTTAAAACCATGATACCCAGAGTAATCAGTTATAGAACTTGGGAATGAATCTCAGCTTTGATACTTCCTTTCCCACGCATTATAGTCAGTAACCCATTTACTGCTGTTCTTAAAGCCTGTGCATCCAACAACATGTAAAAAAACAAAACAAACCCACAATCCCTATAAATCCAACTGAAGAACCCTTCTCTCATAAGGAATATTCTTTGCTCTGCCAAAATTATTAGGTGCACATGAATTATTAGCAATATTGAATCCTATACTAAGGTAGATGCGTGAACTTTTGAAAATATCATAACCTTTAAGGACTAAGAATTAGTAGTTCATCTGCAGAACTACAAAGATCTCCTTTTTCTAAAGTATGCAAAGTATTACCAGCCTGGAAAGTTATTGAACTTTAAAACTGCAAGTATGGTATAAAGTGGTTAGTATGAATAGACTGCTTTAGCTGTCCATAGACTAGGAAATAATAAAAATAAAAATTTAAAAATAGCATCAGTAGCAGCAACAAGAACTCATTAAATTATAGGAGAGTGCTGGAAAGCTGTTTCATCATAGTAGAAGTTGAGATGAAACACTTCAGTAAAACAACTCAAGTCTGTGGGCAACTAAGTTGAACCTCCACATTTTTCTTGGTCAACCTGGACAGTAATACACAGGGAAGGCTAAATCTAATGAAAGAGGACCTGAACCCTGAAGCAGAATCACAATTCTGTATTAAGCATCAGAACTTGCTAACTAAAAGCCAGGAGAATTGGGTTGGTATCCAATGCCACCAGCTCACTGAGCAGTGCGCTATATAAAAGTCAGATCCTTCAGTGGAAAGCTGTCTAGAAGCAATCAAAATAAAACAGAAGGCACACAGCTACAACTGAAACATCGTCTGGCTTTAGAGATTAAGGCCTCTGTCATGACTGAGGGAAACTGCTTCCATCTCCCTTAAGAACCAAGCCAGGAACTGCCTTCTGAAAAATGTGTTTTCAGCCCTGTAAAGCCAGAGCAGCTCTGGAGTCAAGCAGAGGCAACTGTAGGAGCCAGCTAAATCTGAAGTCAAGAAGCACCTGCAAAATTAGGTGGCAGTCCTGACCTCATCTACTCTATTTCAATTTAATCATTTGCTAAAGTTCCAACTAATTTTTTAAGACAAAAAAAAATTATGGAGTTGGTCACAGATATTTTCAAGGCAGCTGGAATTTGAGCTCTGCCAAGTAGCACAGCTATGTAAGAAAATAAATGTGATCTCCTACTCTTATTTGAATCTCCTACTTTGCCACCAGTTGAAAAGTAATCTTTCTGGATGCAAACACAGCACAGTTCAATAACATATAAAATAATAGCAATTTTTAGAAGAACAGAAACCAAGACAAACATTATTATGCCTTTCTAACAATTCATGCTTGACAAAAATATCACTGAGAAAAGTTTCTATAAAAATTGGAAAGATGTATGGAACTATCAGTACTTTAATAGACCTATAATGGGACTACTCAATGAAATTATCAGGCAGCAAGCCTAAATACCAACCTAAGAAAATGGTTTCAAACACAATGCTTAATTAAAATTATAGAATGCATTGTCACAAAACAACATCAAGATCAAAAGCATAAAGACATTAAAAATAAGTCAATTACAAGGCTAGTTATAGAAGACAGTTGGAAAAACTGTTTGCAAATAAAACCTTTACTTTGCCAAGCCTTATTTTAGGTATGTTAGTAAAGTATCCTCCTGTCCGTGCCTTGTTCTGTATTCTCTCAGATATTTGCTATTTGCCACCTCCAAAGACAGGAATAAAGGGCTAGGCCATTTATTCTGACCCAGTATAGAGACTTTTTTGTTGTTATCATAGGGAACTCCAACTTAACCAAACACAGGCATGAAATGAAGGTTGGATCAAGGATATTCCTTGTTTCCTCTACGAAGCTGCAGATTTTAACTAACTGATTACTTTTACATCTTCACAACAGAAACTAAGGTGTTACTTGTTACTTTGAAGTCCTAACCTGCCCCTTGGCAAACCTGCAATTAGGCTATTCTTCTCCATCTTGAACTACTTCTTCATCGGAGTCTCCTTTTGACTTTGCATATTCTAGTGCGTAAGAAAGTCCATTGCATCCTCTTGTACGAACACCTACTTTCACACCTACCTAAAATAAAACATTTATTTTTTTAAACCTATTCTTGAACACCAAAATAAAAAGTATGCAGAACAACAAAAAGCTGACATTTATTCTCCCTTGCCTCAAGGTGAGTGTTAAAACAGAAATGAACTAGTTTAATGGATTAAAAGGTAACATTTTTCTCTTATAAAATTGACTACCAAGGTAAATAGCAGACACCAGATGTTTGTTACTGTGGACCAAGCCCTAAAGCATGTTAAAAAAAAAAAAAAAAAAAAATCTAAGTAATGAACTGTCGACACTCCTTGGTGCTTGATCTCATAAGAGTCAAACTTCAAGGACAGATATTTTTGCAACTACAAATGAAAGTTTATTCAGATGGTAATTCAGGCACTATTTTAAGATTGTTGACAGTAACATAATTATGAAGTTGTGAGGCCAAGTCAAGGGCAGTTGCTAGATTTTTACATAACTCCTATAATGACCATCAGAAATCTACTACTACAATCCAAAGTTCTGAAAACATTAAGATCTTCATTATGTACATTACCGTTCACACTTAAAACTTAATCCTCTCCTTTTTGCAAGTAAGTTTATTCATTTACTGTGTTAACCAATGTTAAAGTCCAACCTAGTCAATATGTTTGTGGATAATGGATATGGATAATTTGCAATTATCCAACACGACCCTGTGAGTCAAACAGAGCACCTATGCAAGTAAAGAGCTGAGTAAAGACTGTAGAAGGTTGATACAGGTTGTTGAAAATGAACTGGAAAATTATTTGTGCACAAGGATCTTCCAAAAGTATCTGTACCACTTTCCACACACAAATGCTTCAGTACATAATTTGAGAAGTATAATAATCTATGGAACCAATGTTATGATTAAAAACGTATCAAAATGTATCGCTTGATGACAAGTGGAACCTCAGACAAACAGCACTCGTTCTTTTCAGACTAAAAACCCTCCTCTACAAGAAGGGCTAGAAATAATGGGTTGGAAAACATGAACACCATTTATAACAAAGGGGATGACTGATCAGCTAAGCTGTAGGCTTTGGGCTTCCTTAGGATGGTTTAAAACATTAGAATGAAGAGTCTAGTTAGTTGCAGAAGTGCAGGAAGCAAAAGAAACAATGGGTTTTATACAAAAGTTGAGGGAAATAATCTTCTTGAACTAGTACTTGCTGTAAAGAAGAAAGCCTAATGCTTGCTTTTATAATGGTTAGAAAGCAAGACTGCGTGCTCTTCCTAAGAAGAAAAGATAACATTCTCAATCAGCTATTTGTTAAAATACTGATTATTTACAAAAAAGACATTGGCAAATTTCATAAGAATGATACCTTTTCCAATGGGTATGAATCTAACATTATTATCTATTTCACAACCAGAATGCCTTCAAGAATTTAATAACATCTTAGTATCAACAGCTGAAGATCTCTAGCCCTACCAGAAGTCACCACTATGCCATACTAGAATAGTTGATTAAAATATGGCTTAGAAATATTTTTCAAGCTTAAGGTGGCTTTTTTTTTTCCTTCAGTTTTACCCATCTCAGAAGTAACTGTACAGTGAAAGGTCATTACAGTCAATTATTTTCTGCATTTTACTTTATATAGAAATGAAGCTTGATAAACTTACACAGTCCCATCAAAAAAAGACACCAACATCTCCAAGTTTTTCAGTGTTTATTTCAAGCTGCTAGGTTAGCCAGAAATGCTTCATAATAATCAGGAGTGCTAATACCTTAGTATAATCTGCAAGATAGCCCCGTTTGCACTTACATGCTCAGGTTTATCTTTAAGAAGCTGTTTTATCTTCTGAACAGCTGATGGGGTCTGAAAGACAAATATATGCATATGATTATATGTAGTTTAAAAAAAAATAAAAATTCAAGTATGCTACACGCTTTGTAATACATGCGAGTCACACACTGCAAATAAAAAGTTCTCTTTGTGCAATCGAATTTTGTCTTAGTGTACAGTTAAGTTTTGTCTATCTGCAAAGTCCACCTACAGCACCAACCATCTGACACTGTCAACTAGCCTTTCTTCTACTTGAAACTGATGCCTCAAGATACATACTGCAAAATTACTACAACTCAGTTAAACAGTTCTGTTCTGGTCAAAATGTTGTCATATATGCATTACAGAAAAATCAGTCAGGCACAGAAATGTTTATTCCCTTCTCTTCCCATTAACTTATGAGGGGAACTATGACTTTACAGAAGATAGATCTATATGAACTATGAGTTTATCTAGTTACTGCAGAAATGCAAGACTATATACACAAAATATACATAAAAGAGTTCCCCTTACATGCTTACAAGTTTCCAAGATATTGAGTAAGATCAAGTTTTTATTACTAGCAGATTCAAACACACAAAGCAAACTTCTACTAGATTTTCATTAGAATACCTTTTCTAATTAGCACTATTAATGTTCAGTTGCTACAAGATCACTACAATACAGGAATTACCTGCCCAGAAAAATGACTGAACTTGACATACTTAGTCTGCCCCTGTCAATGCAGGGAATCCTCCCTCTGGAGTAAGCCTTCCCAACTGTACGGCCTCCGCAATACTGCCACAACTAGTAAATGCGCTTTCTCAATTAACACAGGAATACAGAGTCTACTTGGGAACAACTTACTCGCCAGTTTCTGTACTGAATTTCCATTCTACAAAATAAATATACTTCTTAGAGTGACTGTGCAAAACACCACCCCATATGAAAGCAACCGCACCGGTCTTTCCCCCTTTTCCCGCTGCCTGCCGGCCGTTATCAGGCCAGAGACTGCCCACCGCTAGCACACCGCACCGCAGCTCGGATTTCTCCAAACTCCGAAACAGTCCCGCTTTCTCTAAGCATCGTCTCTACACAGGCGCAGATGAGGAAACACCAGAGCCTTCTCCTCACGGGGAGCACAAACACCCCCGGCAAGCTCACAAGCGGGAATAGGTCCTTTCCACCTCCTCATAGACCCTTCCTAGCGACCAAATCTCAACACCAGCACGCAGCTGGCAACCTCGGAGGGTTAAAAGCGCTCGCCCTCAGGCCTACGGCCCTGTGCAGCGGCAGCACTCAGAAGCGCCGGGCGCAGGTTCGCCTGCTGCTGGGCCAGGCGTGCAGCACCGCCAGCCACGTACACAGGCTCGACAGCACGACCCACGCCGTCCCACTGCCACTAGCAGCCTAGAGGCGTCGGCGGAGCATCTGCCCCGGGGCGGGCAGACGGTCAGGCTGAGGGAGACCCTTCAGCCCAGCCCTGCCCGTGGGCACAGTTCTAACGCCCGCTCTCAGGGCAAAGGCACAGGGCAGAGAGGCCCGTAACCAGCATCCCACGGAGCGGGGCCCGCCACGCCTCCAGCACTGACCAGGGTGAGGGCAGCGCGGGTAGCCTGGATCTTCCTCTTACTCACGGCCCGCACCGTAGCCCTCACGACGGACGAAACCCTGACCATCTCAAACCCTTCCTCTCCCATCTGCCATAGGCACAGCCGACATGACGCCACGACGCATAGCGCGCTCCCTGCGCCCACCCCTATTGGGCAGCAGCCCATGATTGGCAACTAGCAACGGCTCTGCCTTCTTCCCCGGCCCGGCACACCCCCAGCTATTGCCGAGAGGGAGCTGTAAGAACCCCGCTGCCAAGCGGTGTGTACGTGCCTTTTTATTTTAAACTCTTAGACGTTGTGCACCCAGGAAAGGAAGGGCGTTGCACGCAGGAGGGCTGTTCGCAGAGATGAGCAGGCGGGTGGTGCTGAGACTTTCTCAGGGGAGCAGGAGTAGGAAGCCCTTCCCTTCAGGCCTCCACTGGCAGTCCCGAGGGGAAGGCAGGGAGAGGGTAAAAAAGAAATCTCCCCTTTGAATTTTTTCAGGAACAGCATTAGATACTAGTTTTTAACTCTATTCCACCCCCACCCCCCAGACTCCCACTAAAATCGAATTAGTATATAGTCCACCTCTCCATGTCTACAAAAAGCATAGTAAAAAACCGTAAAGATTTATTGATGATAACATAGAGAAACATTTTAAAGCAGATTGGCATAAGGCTATTCAATTTTAAACGTTGGCATCTCAGGCAAAATCTAAGCATAGAATAGTGTAGCTTTGGACAAATTATTTAAATTATACAAAACCAGGAAATGATCACCTGTAGGACAGGGTAAAGTTGATGTATCACAGCTGGATAATGAATGCATACAGTATATGCATAGAAGCAAATATTTTTTCCTCTGTATGTCCTCTTCCCCTTGAAACTTCCTCTTTTTTTGCTCCCCTTTCCTTCTGGATTTATGTCCAATAGTGGTTTGGTGACTGCACTGTGGTCACAGACTTCAGGCACTCTTCACCACTTACATGGGCCTAAGATGCATGCCTGGTTCACGCTCATGTTATTTCTTCCAGCCCCAGAAGATGCTGAAAGAACTGTATTCTGCCACTCCCAAACTGCTTGTGGCAGCCCTGTGGAGGTACATTGGGGTAACTTTTGATACTCGGGAGAAACCTTGAGAGCCTTGGCACAAGAAGAGTAATCACATTGCTTTAATTTGAATGATGGCTACACCAGAAGGAAAAAAATTGCCTATTTTTCATTTCCTTTGACAGCATCCTTAAACATGCTAGACAATACTTTAAACCTATATTTACCTTTAATTTACGAAGTTCAAACACAAGCAACACTTCTGCATCTCATTACTGGATCTAGTTTAGGTAACAGACTCATTGCATGCTTAGCCAGTTTTAGATAGCTTAATAGTAAACATGCAGAATTTTTTTCTTTTTTTTTACATACATAATTATGCCACTCCTCTTTAACACTATGACTGAGGCATGGTACTTCTACCTCAAATATAAAAATCAAGATAGCAAATGTTTAAAAAAAGCTGCATTTTCTTTAGCTACACAAAATATATGCAACTCGTGCACACGTTCTCATCTAAAACACACCTACTTGGGGGGGGGGACCTTAAACCTATCAGCCTGAAGTTGGTGTCAGTAATATGTATACTTAAAAACTGGAAGCTTCTGTATGAATGCAACTAATACATCATTCACAGTTTACCATGCAGATATGAAGAGCTTTACCTTCTTGTATTTCCTTAGTATGCTTCCAATCATCACTCTTCAGTCACCTTTCTGTTGACTATGTCTTGGCATAAAAAGACCGAGTATGAGATAGGAAAATAGCCTTTATTTTTTAAATGCTTTTCATCTTCATTACATTACCAAAAGAAGAAGGCAAAAATCAATATTAAAACCTAAATAGTTCAAGTGAATAATAAGAAAGATTATTGATAACTTCATTACTATAGGAAAAAATATTTTCTTTGCTAGCAGGTACCCATTCTAAGTAATCATTTAACACCCAGAAGATTTACTAGTGAAGATTATTTTTGATGCAGCTTCTCGAGTTCTTAAAAAAATTTGATCAGGTTTATAAAACAAATTCTTGTATATTCAAGACATTTAAATAAAATCTTAATAGATGACAAACCTGTTTTAAATATATCTATAAAACAAATCTTGCCACAACAGTTAAATTGGGAGAGTTGGATTTGTGGTCTTAAGATATGAACATGGTGACTTTTTAAAAGGAAGATGAATTAAGATAATCTAGTAGTTATATAGCTATCTAACTAAGATTAAATAGCTATATTAGGTAAATTAAGCTATATAGTTGACCTTGCTTGGTTTCACCTTAAATAGCAGTAGCTATTGCTGAAGCATAGTCAAAATACACCTCAAAGCTTATTTTTTATAACATAATAACAAATTAAAAGCAGAGGTAAATATTTTAACTGTTAAATCCTCACAATTATACAAAAACATCCTTTCACATTACTGCAAATGAGAATGCAGGTAGGTTCATCTCTTTGTCTTCCTTGGTCTCCAGATTAAAAACCAGGGAGCATAACCAAGGAGAAAGGGTAGGAGAAATAGCTGAAAACTTCATATTCCAGAATCTCAAGACCTCAGTTTCTTCTTCTCCATCTCTGCTAGTGAAAGACTGGCAAGCTTGAAGCTAGAAAGACAGTTAACTGTGCTGCATATATGAAACAGAACTACTTCTTTCTCCTTTTTACAGCACTGATAACTACTGATAGCACAAGACATATCAACTTCGGAAACAGGGACACCAAGAACACAGGGAATTGCTTTGAAACAAGACAATAGTGCATTTTTTTTTTATAAGCAGCACAAGTGAATAGTACTATCAACTCACTTACTGACTAGCCTTCTGTATCATTACAGGGACAGAGTATAGGGGTGGTACAGAAGAGATCTTTCTGCAGCTTTCCAAAGGCTGAAGGGCTGCTAAGGAGAAGCACAATCATTCCAGAAAGACCCTTCCAAAGATTACTGCATCACAGTAAACTAAGTGAAGATGCAGAGGCTGCTACAGCTGAGCCATCTGACATCCCTAAACATATCACTTCCGAGGAGGTAACAAACAGGATGAAGTAGTGAGTTAGAAACTTCCAATGAAAATAAATCATACTGATGCTACAGAATTATGAGCATGTCAATTTTAATATGAATTCTCTCCCTTCCCTAAACATAAATGGCTAAAGACATGCTAGGTACTTAGTGGGTGCTAAATGTCTGCTCTATCCCCGGGAGTGTTTATTACTGAAATTTGTCAGAAGGCAATGTTAGGAGCAATCTGACTTTATACATTCTGTTCAACAGAAGGAATTTGCTTTTTGATCTTCTAAATTATGGATTATCAATTATTATATTTAATAGTATCACTTTAGTTGTAAACTATTAATTTAGTTAACTATTAGTTTTGATACTGTTCTTTTTCTAGAAACTTTTTTTAATGCAGTGGCTTTTTCAGATTATTTTTTTTTGGTGGAAGGTTATTCCCTTGATAATATACTTGCATAAAGTGAGCATGATCTTGGATATCAAGAATGTTATAAAGAATTAACTCCCTTTAATTTTCAATCCCTTTCTTAAGACTTTACAACAAACTAAGCTTTAATAATCAATCCAGCAGATATGTACACCTCATCAACTGTTTATTCTGTGTCACGGATCATTGTTATTTGTCACTATGTTCTTTAACTACTGTTTAGGCAAACATGCATTTATTGTTTAGTTGTTTAATACTTGCAATATATAGCCCAAGTTTGGGGGGGTTATTTTAGGACTGAGATTAGTAACAATATAGAATTTGTAGTTGAATAAGCAAGCAGCAGCTTCACAGTGAGAAGACTGGGGATCTGCAGAATAAGCTTCCATTCAGATATGAGTTTAGTGATTTCACAGTTGAAAACTTCACAGTTAAACTACAAAACACCACAAACAGAAGAGGATAAGTATGAGTAAAGTATTTTTTGTTTGGTTTTGTTTTTTATAAATAAATATCTTCTATCTTTAAAGTGAGATGCTGCTGCTGTCCCTTGGAGGTTTATACATTTCATTCCCATCAGCAAAAATTGAAGATAATTCTGAACATAATTCTACCATATCAGCCTCTGTATATTGTTGGGAAATGAATAAAAGTACATTAAACTTATTTTTGAGGGGAAAAACTGACTTAGTTTTATATGAAAAATATGCTATAGAAAAAAATTAAATTATTTTTTGTTTGTTGCTGGCTAAGATTTTTCTTGAAAATATGGTGAGGAAAAAATATAAAAGAAATCTTTTGGAAAACTCACACATCTAGAAATTTATAGATGGATGGTTACAGATGGATGAAACCCACCCTAGTTAGGAGCCCAGATCTCTAAGGCCTCTTTGGAAATACCAGGTTTCATCTTTATTAAAAATAGTTGAGGAAAGAAAAATAATTAAACATGACACATTTCAAAGAACAGAGATAATTCTAATAAGTTATCATTAATTCTAAATTTAAATCAATAATACTGAAAACTAAGTACAGTGTAAGAAGAAACACAGAAACTTAGGCCTGAATTTTGATTTATTTTATTTTATTTTAAAGTCATAAATAACAGTGGTTTCAGTTTTACTATGTAATTAATTCTTTCCTGAACAAGATAAGATAGTATCCTGCTATCCAGCTCTGGAAGGACTTCAAGTAAAGCTCAAATTGATTATACTAATTAAATTTGTGGCTGTTAGAAGGATCCTCTTCAAATTTTATGAAAAAGGAAATTGGTTTTCCCCAACTGCCAAATATAATTTTTCTAATCCTTAATGAAGTTTTGTCTGTATCTCCAAGGCCATGAAAAAGATTCGTAGCAGCATCAAAACAGGACTGACCTGTTAGTCTTCCCTTTCCTGTACACAAGCTCAGCAGCTAATGAACTCTCATAAAATCACAGAAGGGGAAAACCAAAACAAACTCCATCAATGACACTGCTTGCCCACAGAGATTTTTTACAGAAATTTACACATGTCCATGTTTTCAGTTCTCTACAGAAAAAAGTTTGCAAATCCAACTGTAGCAGTCTACAAACATTTGAAATTCTTTTATACAAGAATTCAGTAAACAGTCAACATTAATAAATACTATTTCCTCCTTCAAAAAACCAATTTTTTAAGAAAAGATATTTGGCTTACACACAATTATAGTGCATTTTAA